TTGTCTTTCTGTCTTTCAGCTTTGTATAAATCTTGACAGCCTCCTGTTCCTACGGGAAGCGCTGCCGAAATTTCTGCAGATATGAGAAAGTCGTTTTTTGACTCATAGAATTTCTGAAAAGGCACTTTTCCTATGGGAAGCGCTGCCAAAATTTTGCAGAATTTAAGGAGTCAGAATATTTTTCAGCTAGGGGCTACTTAACAGATCTATCCTGGATAGAGGAGGTGTTCAGTGGCCTGGTACTAGTAAAGGAGCTAGGTTACGACCTAGGGAGTATTCACCTTCCTTGGCATAAACATAGTAGTGGTTCTCTTTGGTCTGTAATGTGTTGCAGGTTTCCGTATTTCGCTGGAAGGCTTGATCTGATCAGCCTGATCCTTCGAAAGGATCACTTTTCTGTTATCACTGATAACAGGTCGGTTGCCGATCCGTCGGTTTACGACTCAACTTTCCCATTTCCCCTGCCTCTCAACCTAAGGCCTTGGCCCTTGCCAGGATTTGTGTGTTTCTTTGGGTTTTCACCCAACTTGAACCTTGCCAGGATTTGTGTGTTTCTTTGGGTTTTCACCCAACTTCTTTATAAATGGCCTTTTCTTAAAGACAAAAGTACTTTTTGTTGAGGTTTGGTGGGGAAATGGTTGGGTGTGCATAAGGCAGGGTGTGAGTTGCAGAAGGTTGGAAAGTTGACCCCTTTAGGGTGTGTGATGTTGTTTGAATGTTGTGTATATGATTGCAGGTATGTATAAGAGAATCTCGATTGAAGCTTGTCGAGTGATTATGCTTGGATTCAGACGGGCAAACCACACAACTGTCGAGAGAGTGAACTACCCCACAACCTTTTATTCAAGTGAGATTGTCTTTTCCCATCCTGATAATGTGACAATCACAGTAAGCGTACGCTCGGGTAACCCTTATAGGGCTATGCGACCGCGCGCTTACGTTTTTCCCTACTCAAAGATCTTATCTGGTCAGACGTTAGTCCCAGGTCCTAGGCTCAGGGCTGAAGGGATTACCCTTCGCACAGGGCTGACCTACTTACTGCCCTGGGGAAACAGAAGCGCCGCAAGGAGGAGGGGTTGCCCCCAGCAACTCGGTCCAGCGGGCGTTCGTTTTTTCCTTGCCAACGTCAAGTAATCTTTTTTCTTTTTCCTTGTTTTAAATTACTTTTGGTGGAGCGGTAGAGTTCCGGGCGGAAGGGTTAGCATGTCGTTGGTGGTGCGCCAGACAACTCACCACCGCTCCGAATTCCTTTCTGCCCTAGGGACCATCCTACCCCGCGCCCTTTGGGACACCTCAGGGTGTTGAAGATGGTAAGGCCCTCACGTCGGTTTTGCGCTCGCTAAAGGTTTACCCCCTTTAGCGCGCGCTTCAGCCGACGCTTGAGCGTCGAGAGCGACCCCATGGCTCAAATGAGGCCACTCGGGTATGGGCACCACATAATGCGCCGTCATCACTACTTACGCAGGTCCGCATTGCTAGTCGGTATGTGTAGGCCTCGCGTCCGCGGGGCTTTATACTGAACCACGCGCGTGGCACCTACCGATTTCCGCGCTCGGAAGTTATGGGATGAGCGAAGAGGGTAAAAGCGCGTTATGACCAATCGACCCAAGTTTCGACAGCGCGAAACGACACAGGAGTGAGGGAATCATCCCTAGTCGGCCTATGGGGGTCCGTGTACGAGCCTCCAACGTCTCGAACACCGGGTTGCCTATGGGTCTGAATTTGGGCACCACCCGCACGCATCTTTTATGTTGGCTGGCCACCTGATAAGGCCGATCAGACCACGAAAGTTGGAATATGGGCTAGGCGGAGAGAGGAAAGGGGGTGACCCTCTTTTTCTATCTGTGGTTGCTTCCTCCTTTAAAGTTTTCATGGTTGGACGTTGTAATCCGTGGACATTTCCCCTGGTGGGGTTTGTTTTTCAATGCTACCCCACCCAAAATAGTCACAAAGATATAGAAAAATGGTGAATTAACCCGAGTGAGTTGCTAAGAAACTCTGAGCCGTCGAAGTCAAACCCCTTGATTTCGACTACCACGACAACCCTAAAGCTGTCTACTCAACCCCTCTGCACAGGGTGCAGAAGAGGGTGTGGTCTTCAACCGCGCATGGCGGTTGCCTAGCGCCGAGAAGGTAACCCCTCAACGCGCTTGTCAACCGACACTTGAGTGTCGAGCACGACCCTCGAGATTACCAAGGGCCGCACGGTTACGAGTACCCCATAGTTACCCCATCAGCGCGAATGCTTGCGAATGCCCGCATGACTGGTCGATATGAGGAGGCCATGCGCTCGCACGACTCTTATACGAAAGTCCGGCGCGCGATACCTATCTGATTCTCGCGGCATAAAGTTATGGGTCGTATACTGAAGGGACTAGGAGTGTTGTAATGTTGTGGTGTTATTTGTGGGGTTTGTTTTGTGTTTTTCCATGTGTTATGTGTGGGTAGATGTGAGTGTTGTGGTGTAACGCGTGGAGTGTGTGATGCGTCCTAGTCGACCGGCGCCGAGTTGCGTTTGGGACCTCAGCCCCCCAGTGCGTCTATTCGCGTGCGGGTTCGATTTTCGGGCGTTCGACCGCACGTACCCCCTATGCTACAGCGAACGAGAAACGCCCTCGACTAGGCCACCTCTGCAATTGCATACGAAAAACTTTCGCATGTGGTTCGGTAGCTCGGCGGGGATACGCCCACCTAAGGGATGGTGACAACTCCCGCAGGTGGAGGTAAGCGGTGCCTCGCGTGACCCTGTCCTGTCGTAGGGGCTCGCGAGAGGTACAGCTGGCGCACTCGGCCGGAGCGGCAAACGCTCTCTGCGACAAGTCTTGCATAATCCTGCGTGACGCGGCCGGGAGGGTCCCCGTGCGGGACCGATGCGCTCGACAGGTGGCGCCGTTGTCGGGGATCTCGGCTGCCAACCGGGATCCTTAAGAGAACGAACCCAGGTCAAGTGCAAGCTGATGATCTAGGCAAAACGACAAAGGCTTATGGTTTCGATTGTCTTATATAAGAGGATTGTGTATGATATAATAATAAGACTGAGTGATTAGAAGTGCGACCTAAGGTTGTATCTGAGGTTTCGAGTAACTAATAGTAGAGTGAGTGGCTGGACTTAGAGGTGGAACGACTAGATAGGACTTAGGACAAGTCCCCTGGAACTTGACAAGCTGTCTGATGGGTTATCGTCTTTCCTAACAGGTTGGTTAGCAAAAAAGGATAAAGATGCCGGACGCAGATGGAATTGAGCGGGGCCCGGCTACTACGCCGAAAGACATTGTTAAGGCCCTCGAGAAAAAGGAGTTGGCACGGCTGCAAGTGTCGAAAGTTGATATCTTCCTATTTGAAGGGGAGAGGGTGTCTAAGTGGTTGGAGCTGCGGGAACAAGTTACGACCGAGGTACCGGAGGCAGATAAGCTCAAGTTCCTACCCAGATATATCTGGTGGGAAATCCGGCCGAGATAATGAAGGTGGCCGCTGGAGCAGGGGGAGACTGGGCCAAGTTTAAAGGAGAGATGCAGAGGCGCTTCAAACTAGGGGATGGTCTGCTAACGAAGACAGACCTAGAAATGTTGCAGAGAGATGAGCTCTCCACGGTGGGGGCTTTCACGACGGCATTCGAAAAGATGGCAAGAAAAGTCCCAGGATTGGCTGAAGAAGAACAGTGCGCAACCTTCCTGGGGCACTTCAAGAATTGGGAGGCTTCTGCACTGACCAAGAAGGCCGCGCCGAGGAAAGCGCTGACTTGGGCTGCCATAAAAGAAGGCGTGTTAGAAGGAGAGTTGGACCAAGTAGTCATCTTCCAGATGCGACAGGCTAGGAAGAAGGAAGGCCTTGGATGCCACGACGGGTAACGGGCGAGACTTTAAGAGAATGGTAGAGGATGCAGTTACCCAACTCGACGCGAAAAAAGAGGCAAAGGTAGCCAGAAAGGCTATGGCGGCACCGCAGGCCCAGGGAAAAGCGAAGAAGGCGGTGGTGCAAGAGGAAGAAGAAGAGGAAAGGAACCTAAGCCTCAAAAGTTGACGAAGGCTCAGAGAAAAGCGAAAAATCTGGCCCGAGGCGGGCAAGGCTCAGGAAGAGGTCAGGTCCCGCAAGCAACAGTGCTGCCACCCCCTGAGTCGCCCAGTCAAGCCGCGCCAGCACCCTATGGGTCGTGGCCGGGTTATGGACCTCCGAATCCTTGGCCTGGGCACTGTTCATACGTACCATGGCCGGTGAGTGGACCGCATGGATCATGCGTAGGAGCGCCACTGAGCACGGCCTCCTGCGAGTGTCCAAGACCCCAGTCTCAGCAGGTAAGCCACCCGAGTCCGCAGCCAAGCCAACCTCAACAGTCGGCCCCACAAGGATCGCAAGGAAACCAAGGAGGTGGACGTGGGCAAAGTCAAGGATGGGGCCGAGGGCGAGGAAATGGAGGTGGTAACTCCACAGGTGGAGGAAATGGGGACTGAAATGCGTCAGGAAGCCAGGGCAGCCAAGAAGGTGGACGAGGCTTTGGCAGAGGAAGAATAGATTGGAGGAATGCCATTTGTTGGCATTGTGGGCAGAAAGGCCACACCATCAAGTTTTGCCAAGTCCGAAGGAACGATGAGGATGAAGGTCTAATCAGCACCAACTATGATGGGGACATGTACGACAAATTTGGGTATTACCTTGACCCGAAGATCCCTAGCGGAACGAGGAAGGAGGCCCTATGAAGAGCCGAGGCCGACGCGCCACCCGCTCCTCCAGCCATGTTTCGGATGTGGCAGGAGAAGGAGGTCCGCTGTGACATCAGGGTGGAAGAGGTAGGCGAAAAAGAGGAAGTGGAGCAGAGAAAAAGCCGGCACCATCAAGGAAGAACCAATCATAGTGGAATCAAACGAAGAGATAGAGGAAGACTGTTGGAACAGGCCAAGACATGCTAAGATAGGGGAAGATTGTTGGAGAGAAGCCCGACAAACAATGGAAAGGATGAAAGACTTAAGTGGCTAAAGTCGGGAGGTACCAACATAAATTGACCGATATGTGTGAAAAGGTTGAGGAGTGAAGAGGCAAGGAGCCGCTGGTGTACCTCTACGACATGGGTCCAGGGTCGCAAGGTGGGTCTGGGAACTTACCAGGCGTCACGATTTCAGGACCAGCACCTCGGTCCGGCATGGCTTATAGGCCACCCTCCAGAACGGGGAGAGCACCGCATGCTGTCAGAACGAGGGCCAAGAGGCCTGTGAGCCCCGAGGAGCCGACAAAGGATGTTCCTGAGCCCAGTGGGAAGGAAGTGGTGGTAGATGTTCCAGAAGGAGAGGATGAGGAGGAGGATAGGCTGAGAAAAGAAGAGGACGAGAAGGCCGAGCAAAGGGCTAAAAAGAGAGGCGCCAAGCCTGACACGGATAATCCCTCAGAAGTGAAGAAAAAGAAGTACGCTGTCCGAGTAGACGAAGGATTTGACGTAGAGGAAATCATGGACAGGATCCTTGAGGGTTATAACTATCTTATGAACCTAAAGGATGTCCTGGCTTCGGCGCTGAGGCTCAGGGATGAGCTAAAAGCATGATTATCTAGGAAGATGGTGGCCAATGTACGACTAGGGACCATAATCCCTAAAGAGGCAGAATGGGCTGAGACCGGAACAAAGATGGATTGGTAGTCCGTGGCATGTGGGTGTCTAGATGTAGTAGTAAAGGGAAACACTTGCACAACGATAGTAGATAGTGGCGCAAAGATGAACCTCATAAAAGAGGAACATCCTGTACGCTTACGAATGGAAGTAGACCGCTCCGACAATGGAGTCTTAATGGGGGCAAACAGTCGGTCGATTTTCATAGGGACCGCATCATCGGTGATTCTGGAAATCCAAAAAGTGAAAGTAAGAAGTTGCTTCTTCGTGATACCTGATCTTGACTACCCTATTATACCGGGGAGGTCGTTCCTAAGTCGAACAGAGACCGTCATACTCAACAAGCATGACGAAACTATGTTCCTCGTCCTACGCATTGGACATTCGGACACTGGCTGCTTTGTGCGCAAGCGCTGCTGCGCTATCGCCTGCCAGGCTCACGCGCTCAAGGGCGAGCTGGAAGGAGCAGGCAGCCATAGACGAACTGCGCTGCTGTATGCTGGATGGGGCGCATGGTGGTCCTTGGGTGCAAGTGGCATCTGTGAGCTGGGGAATGAGGTTGTGAGTGATACGAAAGACATACCTGGTGCTTGAAGCGTGCGGCATTGGCCGAGATCTGCTCGTACTTCGGGGAGCTGTTGACGTCATCAGCGGCATTGTGGAGTGCCATAGGATATCAACATTGGTTCTTCGTTGATGATGATGATGATGAGACTATTCCAGCATTGTCAATTATGAGCTTTTGGTGTACTCTTATTTGGTGAAACTCGTGATGCAATTCTGCTTTTGGTTCGAGGTCACGACTCTCTGGTCTCATGTGTATGATGCTGTTTGATTGCTGAAGTTCGCTATTGCTTATCTTCCTTGCACTTTGATATAGACCTGAGACATTGTTTTCCCAGACCCTTCAAACACCCCAACACTTGAGCATCGAACAAGCTTTTTTTTTTTCTCCCCCCCTCAAACCTGACAACCTATAACCCTATAGAAAACCATTAGGACTGCCCTGTTACTTGTACAACCTCAATAGGATTACCCTATTACCTGAACAATGCTACCCTCACCCTTGTAGAACCCCAATCGTATTACCCTGTTACTTGAACATTGATTCCCTCATCCCTGTAAAACCTCAATAGTATTACCCTGTTACTTGAGTATTGATTCCCTCATCCCTGTAGAACCTCAATAGGATTACCCTGCTACTTGCATTACTCCCCTGTTTCTTTTATGACCAATGATTGGCCCCGTCCCGTCCTTCACAATTGTTCATTGGGTCTTTGGCAGCCGGGACGTTGCCGTCCAGAGGGAGGTTATAGTGTTACGGACTCAGCCAGGGCTCAGTCCCTGGTCCGTGGGTTACCACCCACCAAGCTCCTATTTCATTTTTGAGTCTCTGATCTCCGGTCCCTGACTGTTGGCGCACTCTGCAGCTGGCACCCTTTCTCAAATTCCTCCTCTGGCACTTTCGGATTTCGATACTCAGCACCATCCGGCATTCTGGCGCCCAGGCTCAGACCTTCGATTGTGAATTCAGCCACGAGGCAAATTGCACTACTGCCCTCGAGAATCAACTTAAGTCCGGTACTTAAGACCGGACTCGAGCTGAGTTCGGCCATTCAGTTTTTGGCCTCAGTGCTTGTGGTTCAGGTGACTTGCTGCAACATTGTGTTCGGAATCCAAGATTGCGACTTTGCGACTTTGCCACTTTGTGTTTGCGCCCGTCCAGTCGTGTCGAGTCTGCATCGAGTTGAGTGAGCGCGTGTGTGTGCTCTCACTCTCCCTCTCTCCCCCAACCTCTCTGCTCCGCCTCAGCCCCGTCTTACTATCCATAGTTAGTGATAGGGATACACGGTTTACTAGCCAGCATTGGTAGGAGCTTATGCGAGTCTATGGCTCGAAGTTATTAATGTCATCTGGTCGTCATCCAAAGACTAACACAGATGAACAAGATCGGGTAGCAGATACTCAAGATGTATATTAGACCGGACCAGATAAACTGGGATGAGATGCTCCCTAAGGTAGCTAGCGCCTACAACAACAGTGTCCATCTAGCTACCTGCCGAACTCATAATGAGTTACACAAGTCCTTTAGACCACGCAAGCCATTGGAAGGACTAAATCGTTACCAGATACAGAGACTGCCACTCGAAACTAGGGAGTCTGCCCTACAGCATGAGAGGGAGATCGCAAGAGTGATTGACAGTCTAAGAAAGGCTCAACACAAAATGATTGAGCAAGCTAACAAGCATCAATGGCCATTGCAGTTCCAGATAGGTGACTTAGTCTGGGTCAAGTCCAAGGAGTTCACACCAGAAGAGAACATCTCACAAAAGCAGTTGCCTGCGCATGGGGGACCGTGGCCTGTCCTAGAAGTGAAAGGCGGAGAGGACGAACCTTCCTACACAATAGAGATTCCGCCACACCTCCACACATACCCAGTCTTCCATCCAAGTTCTTACCTTGTGTCACAAGCCAACAATTTTTGTCGCGTCGATCGATGATTCCTCCGGACATGGATGACACATATGATATAGATCGCATTGTGGAAGAGGATGTATTCAGGACCAGAGGTAGAGGTCGTCCACAGAAGGAATACAAAGTCAGGTTCGCTTATCAGGAACCGGAGGACGACTGCTGGTTCACAAGAACCAAGCTGTTAGAGACCGCTCCCGACATAGTCCACGCCTATGACAGAGAAAGGAAAGGTAAAGGACCTCGAATTTAGGCCGGCAGGAGTGAAACGGTTTTCACCTATTACGGTAGCAGATGCAGTACCCAGGGCGTGATCCCTAGACCTCCCCCTTACCCCTGTATAATACCCATTGACCGTGTCTGTTTGAACCCGTGACCTGTGTCCTAAAAGTCGTATGTTCAGCTGTTGTATATGGTGCGGTTGTCGGGGCTTGAACCGTAGGTCTTAGTTTTAGTGGTCGTAGGGTCAACGTAGGTCGTAGCTGCTACAGTTCCGAAAGGTAAAGTCCACAACCTTCCGAAAGTTCTAGAACTGCTCTTTGTGAGTCTTACAAGTCAGTCCGCGTGTCAGTCAACAAAGGGCGGTCCTAGCACAGTCAGCAAAGGGCAGTCCTAGTCCTACCTAGCGTAGTCAGCAGTACCCAGTCCCAGGTCGCACTTTGTTTAGTCAGCAAGTACCATGTGGGGCTGCGTGCACACCGGGCCGAGGGTCCAAGGGCAGACCTACGACGATCCGAAGTGTAAATAAAGAGGCAGCATCGAGTCATTCATTCATTCTGCCTATGAGCCGTGCGGAAGTGCTGTTGGAGTGTCTTGTGCGACCTACGCCGATCCGAAGTGTAAATAAAGAGGCGGCATCGAGTCATTCATTCATTCTGCCTGTGAGCCGTGCGGAAGTGCTGTTGGAGCGTCTTGTGCTACGGAGGTCTGCAGGTACCAGGAGAGGAAGAGGGCTAAGAGGAGGTCGGCCATCGCCGCCAGTTAGTTGTAGGAGGAAGAAGACGGCAGCCATAACTGCCCGTAGGTTAGTGGTAGGAAGTGTGTTAGTGTGTTGTGTGTGTGTGTGTGCGGGACATTCAGGGTGATCCAGAGGGCGTGCGTGTGTGTGAATAAGTTGCTGGTGGACACAGTTGATCGGGTGGGAATCGTTGTCTGACGCCCAGCGCCATAGCCATTCAGACAAGTTTGAATCTGAGCTGTGTTCCTGGCTACGTTTATCTCTGAGCTTTGTGCGGGCGCCATGCGCCAGTTTTGATCGTTATCTGTTTGCAACTTTGCATGCATGCTGAGTGCGTCGAAGACAAGTCTGATTGCACACCCTTCCCTACAGATCAGTTTTTCTCACTGACAGAAACGAGGGGAGATAGTAAAGAGGCATTGGTGCCTGATGGACCTAATGAGGGTGGTGATATGCAAATCAAGATACAAGGAGACTAAGTAAAAAGGAAAAGGGCAGTAAAGGACTCATGGAGTGAACCACAGGTCATCATGGAAACAGCATCCAGAGTGGAACAGAGGAAGGCAGCAGCACGCTCAGGAAGTGACCATAGCCCAGATAAGCATTGAAGAAGTTTGCCTCAGGCGGGGAACTGTAGCTCAATTAAGAGGGAGACCTCTGAAGTTCATAATTGGTTCCAATGCGCAGTAAGGTGGGAATAGGGAGTAAAAGGAGGAAGAAGAGCATCTAGAATGAGAATAATAAGGAGAACGTGTTAATACAGTAACCCGCACACAACAAGGGTGACAAAGGATGGGGTAATGCAGACTCAGGACCGAGGAAAGAGCATAGGTTTCAATAACAAAAGGAGGGGGGGAAAGCAGGACGGCGAAAGTTCAGGATAAGGGTCGACTTTCTGAAGCCATGCCAAGGTGGTTGGGCTTAATTTTTGAAAAAACAGGAGGGGAGGAATACAGGAAGGCAACAGTCAGGAGAAGGGTCTACTTTCAAAACCATGCCAAGAGCTTCTCTGATCTAGCTCTGGAGTTTCATCCAGATATCAGACAGCCGAACAGGATTGAGAGGACTTCAACAGATCCAGGCTCTGGAGCAAGACGGGGAATGGAGCAGTGGTAAATCCTTCCCTTTGAAAGTAATCAATGTCGCTGTCCTTGAGTCTCTCAGCCATATCAGAGAGGAGCTCGGAGTAAGCTAACATGCACGGGACACTGGAACCAATTCCCTGCTTTCAATACAAAAAATTGCTTTGTAATGACCCGCCATAACACAGACTGAGAACACTGCTGATTTCTGAAGTTCTGCCGATGGAATGGGTGCCGTGCCGAGATTCCCGCTATTGTGCGTGCCTGTCTGAGTGCTTGTTGGCATGAGCGCAAGGGTACTTGCTTGTTTGGCAGGCCCGTAGAGCCGGTACTTACCTGTGGCCGTGGCATTGAGGGTTGCAGCAGGGAAAACACTCAAGTAGCGGAGCCAGGGGCCCGCGGTGCTTAGAGCAGCGGAAAAACACCTAAGTAGCAGGTAGGCCGGTACGCACCCAGTAGCAGTACATGTGCCCGCGGTGCTTAGAGCAGCGGAAAAACACCCAAGTAGCAGGTAGGCCGGTACGCACCCAGTAGCAGTAGATGTGCCGGGTACTCGAGGCCGAGCAGAAGAAGACAAAGTTGGCATTTTAGAGGCCCAGTAGCGGTAGGCGAGGTCTAGGCCGGTACCAGTCCATCCAGTCTGAGCCTAGAGCCTGTACGGGCAATATCAGAGCCTGCAATGATGTTTCCCTCCGAAAGGGAGGAGGTACCGGTTGCTTGGGAGGCCGAGCGGCCTGGAAGTCACCGCCCAGGAGGCAAGCAGGCCGCTATATCAAGAGGCCGAGGCAAGAGCTCAGCCTCATTCTTCAGTGCGCAAGTTTGGCGACACGCTGCTGGAGCGCTGGTTGGAGTGGCGCTGGGTACTACAGCGCTGCTGGGAGGAAGAAGCCGGGAGCTTCCACCTTGGCTATGATGGAGCTCTACCGGTAGGAGTAGGAGGGAGAAGGGGACCAAGGAAGAGAATGGTGGGGTACTTACATGGCTATGGTAGACACCATCTTCATCACCTTGTTAGGCGCTGCATCTGGAAGGCCCCAGTGGGGTAGTGCCGCATCAAGGAAGCTCGGGACAGAGTCAGGCATGGTGGTTGAGTGAGCAGCGGCATAGCTGCATGGAGTTGACCTGGGGACAGAAGGGCAGCGACATAGCTGCTTTGGGTTGTCCTTTGGACAGGAGGGAGAGCCCTCAGTACTCCGCCATAGCCTTGGCCTGTATGTAGAGGAAGAGGAAGGGTGGCCATGGCTATGGTGGACCTCATGTTGTGCCTGCAGTAGAAGTGGGATTCGGACATTGATTCTGGTTCAGCCATTCAACATTATTATTGTTATTTCTTGTTTGAATAAGAGGGGAGGAGATAAGGAGCAGATTGGTTGGCGAGGGAGAAGAGCCTTGTCATTGGTCTATGCTGGAGTACATCATCTTCTTCTTCTTTCTTACTTCTTCTTCTTCTTCTTCTTTCCCTCTCTCTCCTCTCAAGTTCATTCATTTCTTTTTGCAATTGGACGGCATTGTACTTTCTGATGTTTGTATACTTCGAAATTGGCCAGGATCGTAACAGCTTTAAAAAAAAAGCCAAAAAAAAAAACTCAGTATATTATACTCGGTTTTTAGTACTTTTGACTGTATCGAGTTGCAAACACACAGATAACTCACATTGATTTGACAGCCGCCAAAGAAATCAGCCCTGGTGTTGGACCCTTTTGTGTAAGCATGGATGCTGGAACCAATTTCCTGCTTTCAGGAATTACTTTTTTTTAATAAAAAAATCACTATATAGTATATTATAATATTAATATATTGTACTCGTTTTTTTTCTGTTTTTTTTTGGCCATGCTAATCTTCTCTGTATCTTTCCAATTTTAATGGGTGTCCCAAAGGACAGTTTGGCACTCGCTTTTAACTTTTTAGTACATTTTATTGTGTTGAGTTGCAAGCAGACAGAAACTCACATTGATTTGACAGCTGCCAAAGAAATCAGCCTTGATGTTGGACCCTTGTCTGTAAGCATGAAGATGGAGAACTCCAGAGTCATCATGAAGCACCATATCGATAGACTCTTCCCATACCGGGTTATCTGACTGCCGTACTACCTGTGAGGCATTACACCAACACAGATTCATCAACCAAACAAATCAAAGTCTCTCTCTCTCTCTCTCTCTCTCTCTCTCTCTCTCTCTTCCCACACACACACACACACACATGCACAGACACATTTCTGCTACAAGCAGAAGAAATAAGTTGGTGCCGTCATCTCTCCGACGTACTGAGAGAGCCCACAATTTGGTTTCTGCAGTGATCCATTTGAGGGCACGTCACTGTGTTTCAAACTCTCCTCAGCAAAGCTGAGACAGGCCTAATCACAAGGCCACCATTCTCCTTACCCGCCCCATCTTACCTCTGTCAAAGAGTGTGGAGGATAGAGTCCTTTGGACTGCAAGTCTGCAGCAATCAACCACAACTGGGTCACGAAGCATGGATCCTGACCACAGCCATGAGGCAGAAAGTGGTGTGACCACCACCATTCTCATTACCTGCCCCATTTGACCCTTCACAGAAACTGGAAAGAGTTCTCTCTGCAGCAGTCAACCACAACTGGGTCACGAAGCACGGATTTGAACCACAGGCATGAGGCGGAAAGAGGTGTGACCACCACCATTCTCCTTACCTGCCCCATTTTACTCTTCACAGAAACTGGAAAGAGTTCTCAACACAACGAGAAGCCAGCAAAGGCCTCTGTCGCAAGGTGGCTTTATCAAGGAGTGTAGAGCACAGTGTCCATTGGACTGCAACAACCAATGACAACTTGAGTCACGAAGCATGGATCCAGGCCACACAGGCAAGGAAAGAGGTAATACTATGCAAGAGAGAAACAGGAGACATTATATATATTGCCAAATATCTATCAGCTAAGAGAATGCAAGTTGCCAAAACAAATGAAGAAAAGAGCATATAAAATGAGGCACTGAAACGGCTTTTTCTGCCTTTCATACAGTTCTGAAACGGTTTTCACCATTTGCAGTCACAGATGCGGATCCCAGGGCTCGATCCCCAGACCTTATCTTCCCTTACCTTCCCTGCGTACAGTATCAAGTTGACCCTGTGTGGCTTGAGCCCGTGACCTGTGTGTTAGTAGTTGAAAGTTATCTGTCGTAGGTCTGAGTAGTTGTCGAGTCTTGAAACTTAGACCTGTCGAAGTACGGTGCATAGGGGTCATAGTTGCTGTAGTTCTGAAAGGTCAAGGTCGTAGCTGCTACAGTCCTGAAAGGCCAAGTCCGCAAACCTCTGGAAGGTCCGAAAGTGGCCTTTCAAGTTTCTTCTCACGTTATACACAGCAGACCAACGGCAAGTTGGGCAAGTGGTGAGTCCAACTTCGCTTAGTGAGCGGTACCCAGTCCCAGTCTCACTTTGTACAGTCAGCAAGTACCATGAGGGACTGTGTGCACCATGGGCCCGGTGGAAAAGGGCAGACCAGCGGCCTACAGAAGTATAAATCAAGAGGCAGCGTCCAAATACACAGCAGACCAGCGGCAAGTGGGCAAGTGGTGAGTCCAACTTCGCTTAGTCAGCGGTACCCAGTCCCAGTCTCACTTTGTACACTCAGCAAGTACCATGAGGGACTGTGTGCACCATGGGCCCGGTGGAAAAGGGCAGACCAGCGACCTACAGAAGCATATATCAAGAGGCAGCATCCAGCCATTCATTCATTCCTGCGTGAGCCATGCGGAAGCGCTGCCCGAGCGTCTTGTGCGAGGTGGTCTGCAGATGCCCGAGGTCGAAGTGGGCTTGAAGAAGCCGTAGTAGCCGGCGACCATAGCCGCCATAGCTAGCGTTAGGTGTTAATGTGTGCGCACGTGTGTGATACAGTGTGATACAGTGAACGCGTGTGGAGTATTCAGAGTGATACAAAGTTGAGTGTGTGCGAACAGTGGTGTTGGACACAGTGATGAGAGTAGGGATGTACAGGCGCTGATGTGCCATAGCCTGTTGAAGCGAGTTTGCATCTGAACTGTGTTCTCGGTCTCCATATCTCTGAAATTTGAGTGGGCGGTTGGCGCCAGTGTGAGTTGCCATCTGTTTGCATGTATGCGAAGAAAAGAAGAAAGCGAGTCTGATTACATTGGTATCAGAGCTGGTTTCCGTTACTCCACGCGCCATCGCAGTGCCGTGCCGCGTACCTGCAAAGAAGACAAGGACGAAGAGAGAGAGAGAGAGAGAGAGAGAGAGAGAGAGAGAGAGAGAGAGAGAGAGAAGATTGTTGTGCTGTCCAAGGAAGAAGGTGGCCATAGCCGCAGAGCTCGGACACGGAGGTAGAAGAAAGAAGACGAGTGAAGGAGGAGGGAGAGACGAAGGATGAGGGAGAAGTCGTAGCCCAGGAAGGAGAAGGGAGAGACGAAGAAAGGAAAAGAAAGACATAGCCAGGGTGAAGGAGAAAGAAAGTGAGAAAGAAGGAAGGAGGGAGAAGGCGAAGCGAAGGTTGAAGGGAGACAAGGGGTCAGCATCCATAGCCGAGTTGACCGAGAGTTGACCGAGAGTTGACCGGGATTTGACCAGGGGTTGACCACGGTGCTGACTAAGGGGTCGACTGACGTTGACCAAGGTGCTGACCGGGAGGTTGACCAGCGTTGACCAAGGCGTTGACCGGAGCTGTTGACCACGAAATTGACCAAGCTGAAGTCGGCATATTCTCGCCAAGCCTTCAGCCTATCCCCTCGGCCTGTGGACGTGCACTCACCCCATGGTACTTGCTGAGTCTGTCTATCTCTTCTTCTGCATCGAGTCTCTTCTAGCAACTCCGTGTACAAGGTCGTAGAGCTGCGTTGACCAAACCCACACAGGTTGAGTAGGGCTGACGACTGACACGTCCCGGAGGACAAACCCTCCCAAGGACCGACACAGACCGGCGGGCTGAACAGTGTGGCATGGGTGGCCCAAAATCCGAGTTGTGGGCTGCACAACCAGCTGTCTAAGTGGTGTGAGGACTAGCTGATCGCGTCGTCCTGTTTGCGATGTTAAACAATTCCTGAGGAGTTATGGGTGATCTCCTTAAATGCCTCCTGATCAGCGTTGAAGTCCTGTAGTGACAGCTTAGAAGTAGGTCTAGGCTTGTGACCATAGTTGACAGGGTTCTGAACCGAAGAGAAAGCCAGGTGCGATTGACCGCAGGTGCTGGGCATCTAGTCTGGATTGTAAAGGACAATGGTCGCGAAAGCTTTCGTCTGCCGTGGTAACCTGGCTGGATCAAAGGGTAAGGATCTATGGTCTTTAGACAATCAGTCAGTCAGTCGAGTGGGTAGGTCTAAGTGATGAGGAGTGGGACAGCTTTGTCGTGCACCTAACACCATGGATGACTACCCGATGTACGACTTGTTCGTTGGGTTCTCCCTCTGGGAGACCCTCTGGCGTCTCCTCTTTCCGCAGGGGTTCTGGAATACTTTCACGTGTAGAGTAGAGACTCGAAGTGGTGCGGGGACCACTCCCTACACCAAGGAACAGGAGGAGGAGGCTGCGAAGATCTTGGCCGAGCAGAAGGCCAAGAAGGAGAAGGTGGTTGTGAAGCAGGCCAAGAAGTTGGCCTTATTACAGGAGCATGCCGCAAAAAGGACGAAGTTGGAAGAAGAGTTGGAAAGGGTGAAAAAGGCGGAGGAAGAAAAGTTGAAAGCAGTGGATGCAGAAGAAGAGGAAGAAGAAGAAGAAGAAGAAGAAGAAGAAGAAGAGAAAAAGGCAAAAGAGGATGTCCCCCTGATTAGAAAGATCATAAGAGACAGAGGGGAGTCAAGTGGCACGAAGGAGGAGGAGGCCCCATGGTTGGAAAAGGTGTCTGAGTGGGTTGCTAATCTATCAATGGGAGAGGACGAGGAGGCAATGATGTATGTACCAAGGGCAGAACAGAAGGCGGTAGTGAAAGAGTGGGAAGCAGAAGAGGACCCCTTAAAACGCCAGAATATAGAAGAGGAGAAGAAGTTGGAGTGGAAGTTGCGCTTAACCAGGGAGAAGAAGAAGAGAATGGAGGAGGCAAGTAAAGTTGCAAAACAATTGGAGGTAGTAAAGCAGCTAAGAGCGCAGATGGAAGCGCAAGCGGACATGCAGGGCAAGATAGATGTGATGGCTAGGTATATAGAACTACTAGCTAGGGCCCAAGAAGAACAATATCAGTTTGCATGCAGCCAAGATGTAGCTCTGCGGTCCATACGCGTAGGGTTCAGGGAATTCACGCGTGAAATGATGATGCTCGTGGGCACGAAAGTAAAGGTGAGGCTAGAAAACACAGAGCGATTCTGCATGGGCGCCATAGAGGGCGCAAAGCTTACTGCTCCAAGGGAGGAGGAAGCTCGTCCTTGTAGAGAGCCTGTGAAGGTGAAGTTCCCTGATTCCTGCAGTGGGAAGGAGGAGGAGAACTTCGATAACCGGGAGGCAATTGTAAACTTCTACATACACCTCCAGAAGATAGCTCCTGAGGAACATGTCCTTATAGCCTTCCATGCCCTTAAAAATGAAGCAGCTAGCTTCGCTAGATCGCTCTGCTGTGTTGCTAAGTGCGAAAATGATATGGTCGCGTATTCCCAAATTACCCCCCTGAGCGACTTTTCTAAGTTATTGCACGAGAGGTTTGCAGATGTCACGCGAAGTGTTAGAGCTTCAGACAAACTGCAAAAGATCCATTCCCGCCAATGGAGGAGTGCTAGAGCACTCGAGGGCGTTATGGATGAATTAGTCTTCGTACCTGACCATGGGGTAACTAAGACCCAGTCGGTCAACTTATTCTATCGTGCCATGCCCGAGCCTTTGCGTGGGCAATTCTTTGAGAAGAATCAGGAGTCTACCATGACCTATGACACTCTGAGTAGGGAAGTGGTAGCGTTTGAAGCACGGTCCATGCCAGTTTCCACTTTCTAGCATAAGGACCTCGATAAGGGTAAGAAGTGCAAAGGCCGTACCCTCTCGGGTCGTTAAGGGCAAGGATCACCTGATCCTTACATTAGATGATGGTGGTATGGAACAGGTCCCTTACAGCCAGATAGAGTGCAGCCTGAAGGAGGATGACAGTGGCGATAGTCAGGGGAGGACTTACGCTGCTGTCGCAGCTGGAGGGAGGCCGCAAGGAAGAGGAGGAGGTTGGGGCCAAGGGGGCCAGGCTTCAGGTGGTCGTGGACAGGGCGATCAGGGGGTTGGTAGCAGAGGAAACCGCCAAGCGGGAGGTAGGGGTCAAGGTCCCTCGCAAAACCGCTCTCGTTTGAATCGATCACCTTCTAGGAGGGGTGGATGGCACCCTGGTCTGCCACAAGGCAAGCCTTGGGAAGATCTGGGCTTGGAACATACTGCGTGGCAACGACGAATGGACCAAGATCAATGCATTTATTGCGGTGATCCGGGCCATATCAAAAAGTATTGCCCTAAATATAAAGAAGTCCAGTTCGTTGCACAGGCAGCAAAAGGCGACTGCCGGTAGGGGTTGCAACTGCCCCTATCCCTAGACCATGTGGAGAAGAGTGCGCACACCACAGAGAAACTCCCAAACCACATGTGTCTATGGAAGAGGTTGTTAGCCGGTGTCTAGATAGCTATCCGGAGACTGCTTGTGTTAGAGTCTCTCTAGACACTTCCCTCACAGGCGTGGCAAAAGAGTTGACGGAGAGAATGTCTGCCTGGGCCAAGATGAAGAAAGATGCGAAAGGACAACTAGTCCTAGTGGATGTAAAAGTCTTTAGAGGTAGAGTAACGGCCCTTATAGACATTGGGGCCACTCGTAGCTATATTAGTAGAAAAGCGTTGCAGAAGCTGAAGCTAAACTTCAAAGTCCAGAACCTAGCAGATCCCATAAGTCAATATCCTCGCTGACAATCGCATGATGCGAGCCAAGGATTACATAGAGGGAGTCCAGGCGTATTTCTGCCTAGAGAAGGATGGGAAGGTAGAAAAAGTTCTCCATTCCCTGACTCTCCTCGTAGAAGACAGCCTCCCATTTGACATGGTCCTAGGAATGGACTGGGGATAGGCAGCAGGGGCCACACTCCATTTGAAAGAGCGCGAGTGTAGGCTCCCTTTTCCATTAGGCGAAGTCAAGACGGCTCGTTTGTTCCATGTGTCGGGAGTAGACAACTCTCTGGCACATTGCTGTCTATTTTTACTTTTTGGTCATATTCTTCGATTTTTTTCCGGATGATACTGCTGATTTCAGCGGGTCTAATACCAATATTACTCACCATTTGTATTTTTTACTTTATTTACATGTATTTTAGTTATAAAAGTTTCTTATGATTTTTCAAAATCCACTAGAGTGAAATTGAATTACTTGAAAGGAGTAGTTAGAAGCAGTTAGATGAGCTCCTCGAGAAGGGTTGGATTAGGCCCAGTTCATCCCTGTTCTTTTCGTCCCCAAGGAGGAGGGAGAGCTTAGAATGTGTATCGACCATAGGGGTCTTAATGCTATCACAGTGAAGAATGCAGAACCGCTGCCTCGTATAGATGATTTGTTGGATCGGGTGCAGGGCTGCAAATATTTCTCAAAGATAGATTTGAAGTCCGACTATCATCAGATAGAGGTTCATCCTGATGATCAGTATAAGACAGCATTCCGCGCTAGATATGGGCAATATGAGTTTATAGTAATGCCCTTTGGACTAACAGATGCGCCAACTACATTCCAACGCTGTATGAATGATCTATTTAGACCATGGTTAGATAGATTCGTGGTAGTATACCTAGATGATATTTTAGTTTTTAGTAAGACCCTCCAGGAGCATAAGGGTCATCTGCGACAGTTCTTGGAGAAGCTAAGAGAAGCTAACTTCAAGATTAACGCGAAGAAGTGTAAGTGGGCCAAGACACAAGTTTTGTATTTGGGCCACGTCTTAGATGGGGATGGCATAAAGCTCGAGGATAGCAACGATTAGAGATTGGCCAATACCCCGCACGTTGACAGAGCTGCGGTTGTTTTTAGGCCTAGCAAATTACTACAGGAAGTTCATGAGGAACTTTTCTACCATCGCTACACCCCTCCGCAGGTTATTAAAGAAAGAAGCAACATGGGAGTGGGATAGAGATTGTGCGTCAGCCCTGAAGAAGTTGAAGCGGGCCTTGATAGAGTATCCAGTCCTTAAGGTAGCCGATCCACCCTTGCCTTTTGTCGTCACCACTGACGCAAGTCAGTATGGTATAGGTGTTGTTCTATAGCAAGATGATGGCAATGGCTATAGACCCGTAGAGTTCATGTCTGCTAGGATGCCTTCGGAGAAGGTTGCGACATCTACCTACGAAAGGGAACTCTACGCTCTCAGGCAAGCTTTAGACCATTGGAAGCATTACTTGCTTGGGAGGCACTTCAAAGTCTATTCAGACCACGAGACGTTGAGGTGGCTGAAAACGCAGGCCAAGATGACACCTAAGCTTACTAGGTGGGCCGTACAGATAGACCAATTCGACTTTGAGCTCAAGCCAGTTAAAGGGAAGTAAATATAGTCGCGGATGCTCCAAGTAGGAGGGTTGATTACTTTGGAGCAATAGTTCATTATCTAGATATAGGACGAGACCTGCAACAGAAAGTCAAAGAAGCGTATGCGCAGGATCCTATCTATAGCGATCTCCTCAAAAGAGTCGTGGAGGCTCCAGAGACTGAACCAGATTACCGCACTACAGACGGATTGTTATTCGAGAAGACTAATTTAGCCGGTCGTTTATGCGTTCCCAACAGTGAAGAGATCTGTACTTTGATCTTAGGGGACTGCCACGACACAGAGGGACATTTTGGTTGGCAGAAGACGTTAACCAACCTTATTCTCGCGTATACGTGGCCAAGTATGAAGGCTGACTGCATGGAGAACGTACGCAGTTGTAAAGTGTGCCAGCGAAATAAAACCACTGCGCAAGCCCCTTTTGGTCTTCTCAGACCCTTGCCTATTCCCGATGGGCCCGGAGACTCGGTATCCATCGATTTCATGGACACTAAGGTCAGAAGTAGACATGGCAAGAGCCAAGTCATGGTAATAGTTGATAGATTTAGTAAGTACGCAACTACGTAGCACCGTGTTCGTGTTTGGAGGGCGAACACGTTCGCCCGAACGCGAACAAGCGCCCAAAACCCTCCGGACGCGAACATAAAAAATATTTAAAAAAAAAAAAACTGTTCTCAGAAAAATCTGGAAAAAAATATATGTCATGTAAAATAATGATACAAGCAACGTTTGCCGTGGAGTCATGTTCAAATTCGTAACCAATCATGAGTTAAAAATCAAAAACCAAAAAAATAAAATATATATTTACGAAAAAAAAATATGTTCGCGAACTGTTCGCGTGAACGTGCAAACACGTTCGCGCGAACGTGAAGGGGCGCGAACACGTTCGTCGTGCTACGCAGGTACGCAATGTTTATTTCTTTGCCTTCAGAGGCACGGACATATTTAGTTATACAGAAGTTTTTCGATTATTGGGTAAATGAACATGGTTTACCACTTTCTATAGTTAGTGATAGGGATACCAGGTTCACTAGTCAGAGCTGGTAGGAGTTGATGAGAGTTTACGGATCTAAGTTGTTGATGTTATCCGCTCGTCACCTAGAGATCAACGATTAAACTGAACAAATGAACAAAGTCATGCAACAGGTTCTCAAAATGTACATTAGACCTGACCAAGTTAACTGGGATGAAATGCTCCCAAAGGTAGCCAGTGCCTATAATAACAGCGTGCACTTAGCCACTTGTCGCACTCCCAACGAATTGCATAAGTCCTTCAGACCGCGTAGACCGTTTGAGGTACTCAACCGGGATCAGATTCAAAGGCTACCGCCTGGAACTAGGGAGTTCGCGATACAACATGAAACAGAGATTGGTACTGTAGTAGAGAACCTCAGGAAGACCCAACATAGAATGATCGAGAAACCAATAAGCACCGTCACCCATCACAATTTTAAGTAGGCGACTTAACCTGGGTCAAGTCCAAAGAGTTTGCTCCTGAGGAGAACATCTCGCAAAAGTTACTGCCTGCATGCTGAGGACCGTGGCCAGTCTTAGAAGTCAAGGGCGGAGAGGACGGACCGTCCTATACAGTCGAGATTCCAGCGCACCTCCACACCTACCCAGTGTTTCATGCGCCAAAGTTGCTTACCTTGTACCACAAGTCAACAGTTTCCATCACGAAGGTCCATGATCCCTCCGGACATGGATGGAATATATGATTTTGACGGCATCGTAGGTGAAGATGTTTTCAGAACAGGAGGTAGAGGTCGTCCACAAAAACAGTATAAGGTCAGGTTCGCTTTTCAAGAACCAGAGTACGACCGCTGGTTTACACGAACAGAACTGCTCGAGACTGCTCCCGAGGTAGTTCGCGCCTATGAGAGCGAAGAAAGATGAAGGTCCGGCCTTGGACAAAACTTTTCTCGGAGGACCTCAAATTTAGGCCGGCGGGAGTGAAACGGTTTTCACCATTTGCAGTCATAGATGCGGATCCCAGGGCTCGATCCCGAGACCTTATCTTCCCTTACCTTTCCTGTGTACAATATCAAGTTGACCCTGTGTGCCTTGAACCCGTGACCTGTGTGTTAGTAGTTGAAGTTGCTTGTCGTAGGTCCAAGTAGTTGTCGAGTCTTGAACCTTAGACCTCTCGAAGTAGGGGTCACAATTGCATAGGGGGTCATAGTTGTTGTAGTTCTGAAAGGTCAAGGTCATAGCTGCTACAGTGCTGAAAGGTCAAGGTCGTAGCTGCTACAATCTTGAAAGGTCAAGGTCGTAGCTGCTACAGTCCTGAAAGGTCGAGGTCGTAGCTGCTACAGTCCTGAAAGGTCAAGGTCGTAGTTGCTACAGTCCTGAAAGGCCAAGTTCGCAAACTTCCGGAAGGTCCCAAAGTGGCCTTTCAAGTTTCTTTTCAAGTTATACACAGCAGATCAGTGGCAAGTGGGCAAGTGGTGAGTCCAACTTCGCTTAGTCAGCGATACTCAGTCCCAATCTCACTTTGTACAGTCAGCAAGTACCATGAGGGACTGTGTGCA